CTTTCAATTAAACTTACAATTTTTTATTGAGTGACCTGTATATTCCAGACAATATTCCAACACTTGGGATACATCAGTGAACACCAGGGAGGGTTGCTGCCCTCTCTTCTCTTGCCTTTCCTGTGTGCACTGTATTTTGGAATAACCAAATATCTCTGGTTGGTGAGGGAAGGTTCTTCTCTATAGCAAACTACCTGTTAATAAATGGGGAAGAAATAATAAAATTAGAAACTCAGTATTTTGCATTCCAGCTAATAATTGTGGAAAGAATGATAGAATTAGAAACTCAGCATTTTGCAATCCCTGGTGAAAAAACGGATTCAGCCCTAACCGGTTTGGCTCAGTGGATAGAGCATCGGCCTGCGGACTTAAAGGTCCCAGGTTCGATTCTGGTCAGGGGCATGTACCTTGGTTGCGGGCACATCCCTAGTAGGGGATGTGCAGGAGGCAGCTGATGGATGTTTCTCTCTCATCGATGTTTCTAACTCTCTATCCCTCTCCTTCCTGTCTGTAAAAAAATCAATAAAATATATATTAAGAAACAAACAAACGGATTCAGTCAATGGTCATCAGTGGATAAAAGCATGAGATGAAAAGCTGATAGGAAACTCCCATGGAGGGATCAGGCTAAGGCCACCTGAACTAATTAATTAATCTCCATATGGATAGAAGCAGGACAACCTGACCTCATTGGCCTCCAGAAGTGATGCAGCGTGATGTTCACAGCACCAACTTCAAAAAAGTCCAAGAATCCATTTAAAATTCAGACATTTAGCACTCTCCCTCTCAGGCGTGTATCTTAGGACTTTTCTGTTCTAAACTCTAAGGGTCCCCATAGGACTTGCAATGCGGGAACAGTGGACAGCAGCAGCCTGTCTCGGGCTAACCCCCTGAACTTGTCTCTAAGGCCCCCTTTTTCTGACTTTTCAGTGAGCTGACAGCAGCCCTGCCTAGGCTCTCTCTTGATACTTCTGCTATCCTGAGCCCTTCCTTGTTTCCCTATCCCCAGCTTTAATAAATGTACTCTTAAAAAAATTCAGACATTTCATGGTGACATTAATTGTGGGAATGTATGTGACAACATTCTACAAGCTATAATGGTTTTAATTTTTGGATGTTTTCAGCAAATTACACATAAAACTATTACTATGATCATATATTGATATAATAAATGTATATAAAATGGTAAACTAATAAAACCCTAATATGCAAATTGACCAAACGGCAGAACGACCAGTTGCCATGATGCGCACTGACCACCAGGGGGCAGACGCTCAATGCAGGAGCTGTCCCCTGGTGGTCCCCTGGGAGCGCAGCTCAGCCAGAAGCCGGGCTCACGGCTGGTGAGCGCAGCAGCCGTGGTGGGAGCCTCTTCCACCTCCTCTGCAGGAGGGTGGTAAGGAGTGAGGGGTTCCAGACTGCAAGAGGGTGCAGGCCAGGCTGAGGACCCCCCCCCTCCAGTGCACGAATTTCATGCACCGGGCCTCTAGTATATAATAAATGAGGCTAATTATTCTGATCTGTATGATACCAGAAAAACTGTGTTAGTTTTTTTTTTCCCCCTCCTAAGGGGAAAAGTGGTGCTTCCAACACATGGGGAAACCCTTGAGGCTTCTGCTTGGGAGTCCACTTGTTTTTTTGTGGTAAGGTAGGGTATAATCAGTATTTGTGGGTATAAGAATTATTTGCTTTGGTGAGCCAGATGATGTTACAGAAAAATCATTTGCAAACCCATGAGTTATTTGCATGTTGCTGGTGCCAAAAGGTCTCGGAGCTAAGTTTTATTTGTCTTTCTGTATTTCACTGTCCCACAAGGTGTAGAACCTGCGGAATAAATGACGTTAGCTTTAAAAACAAAAAATCCCACAAAACTATTGTACTGTTTGCATTCCACCTAGATCCTGGTATTCCTGAGTCACTCTGAAGGAGAACTTTCATGTCCTAACCTGGGTGGTTTAGAGATGTTTTTCTAGGGAAAGAAGTTTAGGGCTGGGCCATCTGTGGTTTCTTAATAGAACCCTTATGAGCTTCCTGGCGCTGCAGGGATTTGGGCCAAGTTGTGGGTTCAGACAGCGTATCATCCCGCTAGAAAGCATTCTCCTAATTCTGAAAGCTTGCAATACATGCACATTCCACATCTCGGTAGATTAGGAAGAAGGCAGGGACCCTGTTGCTCGTCCGCGAGGGCAGAAATGAGGGTGTGTCACGTGCCCAAGGCTGGCCGAGCACACCCTTCCATTCAACTCATTCATTCATTCACCCCGTATTTTATTACGCTCATAGTCAGTGCCGAGCAGGGGTCCTGGCCCAGCAGGTCCTCCAGAGCTCCTGTGGGTGCCGCGCGCAGAGCCGACATCCTCAGACTCCCAGGCCGGGGTCTCCCCACCTTTCCCTCCAGCAGAGCTCGGAGACAAAGGGATGCGCCCCCGCAGCTCCCCAACCTGAGGGCTCCCCGCGGCGCGGGGCTTCGGCGCAGCTGCTTTTCCAC